TCGCTGATTTATTGTGAGAGAAAAATATTGTTCTTTCACTAAAAAGGTATGACTTATAAGACAAGCAAACAGTGCCAATGTTGATAAATGTTGATAAGATAAAGGTTCATGCTTTTCATCCACTATGTATATCTTCCGACACGATGTGCGCGGTCGCAATAGTATTACGCTTGCTTGACTGAAGTAAAAAATAGTGGTCGATACCAATTTTTGAAGCATCGCGCACTGCTATACACTAAGTTTGGGCCGGTAATCTATGCCAGCAAATTTCTTTGTGATGGGATCAACACACGCCATTCTTATTCTTTCAGGTGTCGCCGGGTTGTCGAGCGGGAACCAGTCCAAGTGCCCCTCCTCAGCCCTCGCAGCAAAGATGGCATCCTTTATCGCGAATAGGACGGCAGAGCCGAGGAGAAATGGTGGCTCTCCTACTGCTTTGGAAGAGTGAATCGCCTTCGGATTTGGAACCACCTGCACCGAAATAATAAAGGATGAGTCATTTTGGAAAAACTGGGCGTGTTTGAGATTAAAGAATGCCATTCAAAAGGACCAAAAAAAAAATTAGTAGTATAATTCAAGGCCTGTTAAGGCCCGTTCGGTTTACTGAATCTTGACTGAAATTGGCTGAAAAACACTGTTCTAGCTGAAATGTTGTGAGAGAAAAATACTGTTCCGGCTAAAAAAAAAAGCTGAACAAGCCGGATATAGGGTAAGCCGAACGGGGCCTAAAGGACCAGCAGAGCAATCTTTAGCTGGCTGTTTTCTTTGAATATAGGCCAACAATATTTCATGAAATCCAATTGTGCTCAGGCTTTATAAAGCAAGATACCAATTATGTCTGTTTGACACACGAAACTGGTACAAACCGCCAAACCGGATATTCCCGACTGACCTAAAAAAAAATCTAAAAAGTTACAGAAGTCCAATGATAAAGCTACCCATCCTATTTATACAATTATTAGTTGCGACTCTAAATCTTCCAACGATGAGGATGGTTAAAGACGTATATACAGCCTTCGGGGCTTAGAATTCCAAGTCTAAACCATTCACTTGCTCTACTTTAAAATTGGAATGAAAAAGCACATGGAGATTTCAAATTCACATTAAACATGGTTAAATGTGGGTTTAAATGTGATAACACATTTGATGACTTGCAACAGGAAAGACAAAGTAAAATATCATCGCCGCCTCATGAATTATAGTGGTGAGCTAGCATATTATTACTGGCACAATTTGTATTCACATGCCACCAGTTATTGTAGTATATTTTATTATCAAATTCAATAAGCCACTAACGAAGTATGATTGAAACGACCATAAAAGCAATTAGATTCTACGTCTTTTCCTATTAACACTATTGATTTGCAGCACAAGAAAATGTCTGGCTGGATCAACTGAAGGAAAAAATGTAATCATTATCATTAGCAAAGAAAGACCCACAGCAAGAATTTACAAAGGAAACTGCTACCAGGAAAAAAATGATGAAAAAGAATCAACCAAGATTATGTTGAAAACTTCGATGCTGGGTAGCAAGAAGATGATGAAGCATGGAGTAGTCGGAACTTCCATCAACAACGACAATACTTGCGAATGAGTAGGTTGAGGAAAAAGGTGAAAACAAAGCAAGTTTTGAAACAATTCTATCCAAATATGTGAAGATAGCTTTGTACAAGCAAAATAATCATCCAAAATTGATCGCAAAACAATAATCGGCTAAACAAAGTCAAGGGCTCAAGATCACTGCCAAGACAAAGAGTGACTGGGTCACCATCAATCACATAATAATTAAACTGTTGTACCACAGAGCGGTTACATCATTATTTTAGACACCTCCTGGCTATCCATAACAATGTGGATGCAACCTTATATTACGCAATTTCCTATTTCAGAGAAATACAAAGACCAATTGTTGTTAATACTAATCTGGTTGAAACTAATGCATCTACTATTACTAAAGAATATGAGAATGGCAACAAGCAAGATTCTATGTATTTTCAGTCAAGGTGGTGTCCTTCAGGCTTATCTCTCACACACAAAAGACTAGCAAATGTGAAAACATGGATTTATGGAGCAGTGAGCTAAGGTAATACTACACTACTACAATAAGCATTTGTAGGGGCGGCTGGCGATGGTTTGTAGAGGCGGCTTGGCCAACCGCCCCTACCATACCGTCTCTACAAATCATGCATTTGTAGGGGCGGTTTCCAGACCACCCCTACAAATCGATTTGTAGAGGCGGCTGATAACACCAGCCGCCTTTACAAAATTGATTTATAGGGACGGCTGTAGTACCAGTCGTCCCTATAATACCTGTTTGTAGGGGCGGTTCAGTCTAGAACCACCCCTACAGTATATTTTTCCGTAAAAAAATAAATTTACAATTCTAATTCGACCAGAACACATATATATAATTTAAATCTGACCAGAACATACATAATTCAAATCTGATCACAAGCACAAGAGCATTATATAAACTACCATTACAAGTCCAATTCACAAGAATATATACAACCCATTATTAAATAGACATAATTCACAAGTCTAATTCGTTTCACAAGTCCAAACCGTCCCACAAGGTAAGACCAATGTCAACTTTCATACATATTGTTATCAACGGCCTAGAGCTAGCCTTTCAGTCTCACGAAGATGTTGGTACTGAGGATTTCTACTTAAGTCAGAATCTCGGTCATAGTAGGTGTCTTTGACGTGTACAATCTGGTCCAATATGAAGTTGCAAAGGTCGCCGACGAGCTCTAAGAGTTGGTCATCCTTGTATGGGTCTATTTTTATTTCTTTCTCTTCTTTCCAATACAAGAGAACAAGTTTCGGTTTAGTATTTCATATCATGTGCGGAGTTTTTATACTACGGGTGAAGAGGTTCAAACTTACCCTTAAGGGGTGTCTCCTGTAGGCACCGGTGTTACTCATCATAGAACATATATAGTATCCACAATGTACACTCCCAGGCTTCTGCTTGGGGCACTGTGTGTTTTGCATATGAAAATGTTAAGTAATGCTTTTAACAGCCATATAATGGAGTACTAAAGTAAGTTACATTTATCGCACATAGTGTTTTTATAGCCAGCCTTTCCTTCCTTACTGGATCATGCCTTCTGTGATGTTTATTGACATAGAACCTTTAGCAAATACAACTTGTTAGTATCCAAAAGTAAATGTTACAAGTATGTATATAAACATATAAGCTAATGAGGATTGTCGATATGTATACGTCTTGAGAATCGATATGAAGTCTTTGTATGTCATCGGGTCCCTATCTATTGAATCAAAGACCCATGCCATGCTCCTCCCGACATCGACGCCTATACAAATCCAGTGGTTGCCTGCATGAATTTAATCATAGAACTAGATAAGCTCTTTTGCATCGAATAAAATATATCGAACAAAGCTTTAAGTATAGAATTGAACTTACTCGAAGTTGTATGGTACCCATATAGTAGAGTAATGTTGGAGATTTTTAAAAGTTGGGGTAATGTATGCCGAAACCTTAAGGGACTCTTGCCTTAGTTTCTTCGTACGGATGTCCTCTTTCTCCCGAAGGGTCTTTCCAGCAGCTAGTTCTTTGACATCCAGTTTTCACTGTCTAGGGTAATTAAAATTTGTTTGTGCTATAGTTTGAGGGTATATATACCCGGCTTTCACACTTGGCATTTGTTTTATAATGTGCACTTGCATTCTACAAATCACAGCGTAGGTTAGTTACAACAAAATCCAAAGATTACATTCATATCATATCGGGAGGGCAAGGACTTACAGGCACCACGTGCGAATTAGATTCATTTCCATTGCTCCGAGGTGAAAGCATGTCTGCATGTTATTGAAGTCAAAGATAATTATCCCGGCTGGGCTTCCAAATGTGCCGGCGAAGAAGCATGCTTGTACGAGGTCTATGCTCGTTAGGAGAACACGCAAGTACCAATCATGAAACCTTCTCATTCCAAGTGATAGGCGCTGGATGTCCCGGTTTAGTAGGAAGGGCTTGTCTCTTTCATATGTTTTCGGGCAATACTTTAACCATTTGATGACATTAACATTTGGATACTTCTTTGCTGTTTTGATGGACTTTGCTAGTGACAGTCTCCTCAGAAGCCCGTGTTGGGACTTTTTTAACTTGGTTCTCAGGCTCAAACTGGTCATGGGCACACCACTTGTGCACCGACGAGACATCTTTCATCGGAACATAAATTGACCTTATGGTGATTGGATGCTTCTTTCGAAGTTCCCATTCAGACACGTCCTCATCTTCTTGTGCATCACCTTCTTCAGGAGACACTCGTTGTTCATGTATCGACTGCGCTTGTTGAGAAGACTGTGGCATCTCATCATGCACTTGCTCGATACGAGCTGAAGAAGGTTGTGGCTTATCAGGCACATACTCGCTAGGAGGCGGTAAAGAATGTGGCATCTTAGAAATGTAGTGGTCACAAAACGGTGAAAATCTCCCCGTCCTCAACAACTCGCTCCAAATTTGAGAGAGTGAGAGACGATGAAGAAACAGTCAATATAATATCCCGTTTGTGCCAGAGGATGAACTGCCCCATTACGTCTTTGAGTAACAGCAGCCCCTCGGGAGTTGCATAGTCTATCCTCCACTGCATAATGATCAAGCGACAAATTACTGCACACCACACTAGACAATTCAACACGACTTGCTCCATATGCAACCATAGAAACACTCGAATACTTTCATCCTACAATAATGATGATTTGAAAATACTTTCAAACTATCATAATGATATTCAAGCGTGATATACAACTCAACAAGTTGAGATTCACTCACTAGCACTTTAATGTTACAAGATACAGATGCCGTTTGGACTTAGGAACTAAGATGCGACTAAACTACAATATTCTACATATTTGCTGCCACCTCAAAATGTGGAACACTCATGTTATCCTACCCTTGCTAATCAACTCACATGGAAACACTCAGCTATGAGCACTCCTATTGCTGCTAAGAAAGCACACTACGCACGCGCAGCTCAAAACAGTCCCAAGAAACGATGCCGCTGCTGGCTGTTGCTGCTGCTGTAGCTTCCTCCTGGTGGAGCCACAGATATTCTGTCTGAGTTAGCCAACGCCCACCTGTTGAAATCCGGTGATGACAACAGTTGCTTCATAGCTTTCTTTGTCTCCTCTCTCGTGAATGCTTCGTATTCCTCTTTTGAGAATTTCCTCCTCTCTGGGGTAGTGTGAAATGTAGAATAGAAGCTGTCCCTAGCAATACCTGGCGACGATGTCTTTGCTGAGCCTGGAGAGTGGAGACACAAGATAACAAGTTGTTCACTTGGCACAAGAACACTAAGCTGGGGCATCATATAGATACAACTAAAAGAAGTGACAAACCTGCAAAAGGTGAGTTTCTTCTTGGTGTACGTCTCTGGTATCCACCATGAAGCTTGCCAAATCCATCTTGGCGACCTCCATTCATGCTAGAATAGTCTTCATCCAAATCTCCATAACGGGATGGATTACTAGAGGTTCCATCAGAAAGTCCCCTGAAAAGAGGTATTTATTTAGTTTATCAGTACTTTCAGGAAACACAAATATGTTTTTGTTGTCACCACTATTAAAATTATGGTCCTAATAACATGGAAAAATAATTTAGTACCCCAAATATATAAAAACCAAAGGAACCCATGTATCCTAACATAACTTAGGAGAAACTAAGAAGGCCGTGCAAAGCCTGCAATGTTCCAAATTACTGCAAACAGCCTCTCTCCTCTGCCATTACATCTACGAGATGTTTTAGTTAAACAAAGATTCAGACAAGTGATGAGCTACTTCTTGTCACAGATTGTGTGTAGTCAACCAACCCATTGGTGCCACAGTTTTCGTTTTACAACAGTAGTTATGCTTACCATGCACGATATGCTCCGCATAAACGAGAACCAATTTGATGCTGATTATGTTTATTATGTTAGGAATTTAAACAGCTACAAACACTTCAATAGAAGTGCCACTGTGAAATCACTTGAATGCATTGTTGATGTTTTCCACCACGGACAAACCGAATTTCAATACTCATGAGCAACGAAATTACAATAGTTCAACAAACAAAAACAGACGCATTGTTGATGTAAGGAGAATAATCTTAATTCACTCTTGCTAAATCTGAACTACACAAAATCACTACATTGAGGGTTGTCCTAATAAATAACTTTAAAGATTAGACACTAACCAAACAATCAAGAACATAAATTACAGCTCATACACGTTAGCATCTGTTCAGTTACTCAGCTAATACTTAGGATTAAAGGATTTTGGTTCATTTTCAGATATTTATTTCTTAGATATCCACTTGAAGACTTACATACATTAGAAATAAATTTCTTAGAGGTAAGTCATAATGCCTAACAGCAGGAGTAGCGTCAATGCATCATATCACGGTTATCTTAGGAAAAGTGGGATCAACCAGGCCAATTTCTGAGCTTGTACATTCCACATGGGCTATGTTATTCCTTGTTCTGATTCCGTTGCATCAAGTGAAAGTTTGAGACTATAATTACTAATGACATTGGGCTACTCCATGGTTTCAATCGACCTACACCACAGCAGCCAGCAGGTCAAAATGTAGCTGCATCCATTCCACAAAGCACAAAATTACCATGTGTCTTACAGAGGTGCCTGGCTGTGTATATTCTGTTGACTGGAACAATAAGTCAGCAACAAATAGGAATCATTTCACAACAGAAATGCCACATAACATGTTTAACTTGTTTTTTTAATATGTTTTTCTTAAAATTATAGTAACATGATACTCAGGTCAAAAGATGAAAACAATGTGCTGTTAGATTTGTGACTTCTGCTATGAGCTATCTGATTAATTATAGCTGTAGTAACTAATATTTGACACATCAAGTAAAGAGTTGCCTTGACTGACAATTAGGGAAGAGAGTTTATCGTACCCGAATATATAGCGTAAAACTTTTGACTTTCCCTCAATTCTTGCAATCGCTTTGATGATTACACAGAAGGCTAAAGCCGCAAATGCAAAGAGATAGTCCAGAGAACTCTACAGGGACAGACGAAGTGAGGATTAGCCTGTCAGTTGAAAGATAAGCAAACGGGTAGAATATTTCAAGCACCAGTAGATTGTTACAGAAGTAATACCTGGAGGATCATAACAGCTGAAATAATTAAGATAGCCCACTCAACAAAATAAGCCACACCCTCGTCAACAGATCCATCTTCTGCCAGGACAAGTTTACGGACACCCCAGTAACCAAACCAGGCTCCAGCTAAGATGACACATACGAGAACGAATATTCCAAGCTGCAATGACACATTTTTTACATTAATATATCATAAGAGGAATGATAGAAACACATACCACTGAATGTTGAAACACTAACAATACCCTCATGGAAAATTTAATGGCACAGTAAGAATATGAATAGGAAATAACACAAAAAATTTGACAACTTTATAAATCATTTGATGTTATCAAGTCAATTTGCTTTCATAGTACAAGTAGTGTAGACTATTCCCCAACAGAGCTCAAGAAAATAAGCACACTCACATACGTGACAAGAAAATTAGTATTATTCAGTCACATAGATATCAATAAAGAAGACAAAAAAGTGGGAAGTCATGTGGCAAACTGGCAATTCAAAAGATCATACTAGTCCCATTCCCTTAAATATATGTAAAGGCAAGTGAAATAAAAGAAGCCAGAAATACCAGATGATAACCTAAATGAAGAACTTACATACAGGATTATGCATGTCTTCAGCAATCCCGATTTCCACAAGAACTGAGCGCAGCATACCCGATAAATAGTGAAGAAAATATGTCGTCATGCCAACCTGTTGTTGAAAAATTGCCACATGAGTGATCTAGAGGTGTAAGGTAGAAACCAAAGTGGATCCTGTCCATATATTAAACAATACTTACAACTGAGGAGTATGCGAAAATAGCAAGAGAACTCTTTCTACCAGTTGGTAAAAGCTTCATTCCCTGAAAGTAGATAGGAAAAAAAATGTCAGGAAAGCAGGTGGTGCCCACAAAATGATTGGCTGAATAGCAGATAAAACTTAAGTTTCCTATTGAACTGGCCAAAAGTTAGATTCATGTGGAAAGGCTGCATACAACTAGTATAAAATAACTTGAATTACATAGCTTCAAACTAAGGAAAGATTAGACTTTGTGACTGTAGCTAGTGCCAATCAACTACAGTAATACTGTCATCTGAAAACAAAAATAAACAGAGGAGGTACAAATCCCTATTGACACTGAGGAAGCCTTTTGCCAAAGGGATATATTGTAATAGTTTAAGTATATTGCTGATTGAGGATTTTTCCAATGCAAATCGTTTATAATCTTCAAATGTTCCATAATCCAAATGGTAGTTTCAAATAAGACAGTAAGTGAGCTCGGTTGAACCATTACAAGAATGGCACCAACCACCGTTACCAATACCAACCATCAGCTGAAGTGCTCAACTACTACTATATAGAGCAGAGTGAAGAGGATTGTAAATTACCTGAAAGAGTATAATCAGTATCACAAGAAAAATGCCGATAGTCATTGCTCCACCATAGTAGAACACCACAGACTCGCTCAATGTGTGTGCCACCGCCATGAGCACCAACCCTAGGACAAAGAACACCACCCTGTGGAGCAAGAACTCTGCATACACAGCAACAAAAGATACATCACATCCTGCAATCAAGAACTGCACGAAACAGGGGGCACCATACTAGAACTACATCAAACAAAGGAAGTGGAAGAAATCATACCTTCCTCAGTGGACACCACAACAGACCTCGAAGGATCAGCAGGCATTCGGAAGTCCAGAATCCGGTGGTCGTACGGTGAGATGGCTTGCATCCAGAGCCCGCTCTTGGGCATCTTCTGCCACTGGGATGCGGCGCACTTGCACGGCCCCACCGTGGCATTTCTACAAACACAAAGTGCACAAGCCAAAGAAATCAGGCCGAGAAACATCAATGCTAGCGATACACACCACGAAAGCTAGGAGTTCAGTTCCCCATCTCACTAACCTGTGGAAGCAGAGCTCGAGCCCGTGGGGGCGGGTGGCGTTGGCGCGGAGTCGAAGCGCGTGGAAGAAGCGAGACGGGTCGTGGAGGCGGGAGGGGCGGCCTTGGAGGAGAACACGCGTGCAGTAGGGCCCGGCGGCATCGCCACCGGAGAGGGGTCGCGCGGGCGGGAGGTTGACGGAGGCCGGCGGATGCGAAGTGACTGCGACAGGGCGGGTTAGGGTTAGGGCTTTGTGGGGTTCGATGGTGGGGTGGGAGACGGAAGCGTGCTTACCTGTGAGCTCGACGGGGGTGGAGACGGATACGGCGGCGGCGGAGGTGACGAGGAGAACGAGGACGGAGGGGACGAAGAGGAGGAGATTCCGGAGTGACGGAAGCATGGCGGCGGCGGTGGATTTGGGGATTTTGGACGGGGAGGCGGGAGATGGCAGGGGATTCAGAGAAAGGAAGGAGCGGGAGGTAGCTTTGAAACGACGCGGTGTCGTCCCTAACTCCGCGGCCGGTGTGGCGGTGTCCTGTCCGGCTGTTCAGACGGCGAGAATGGGCTGGCAGCGCCGTGACTTGGTTGCTAAGGAACATGGGGCATGGGCTTGCATTTGCCAAATTTTCCACGAGGGAGAAGGGGCCATTTATTAAATTTTAGAATTATATAGAACGGTTTGCCTGTGCTCGATTCAGAGAATCAACACAAAATAATTCCGCGTTCCACAGGTGCAAATAGAGATGGAACGGTAACGGGTTTCCTCGCGAGAAGGAAAATCGCCGTTACTGTCTTCGTCGAAGCTCACGGTGGAAATTTGGTTCTCGTTCCTGTCTCCGTGCGGATCGGTGCATCATTGAAAGAAAAAAAAAATCTTCAGCATAAGTACACCACTAATAAACTGCAGTACACGCATAGTCCAACATAATAACTACTCTACGACAAATACACACAAGATAAACACTGTGCAACAAAAAAAAAACACAGGCGATAGGACCTGTAAGTTTACTAAAACCGAGGACTAAAACTTCATATTATTTTAGCTTACTCTTATGGTCTAAACTTTAGACAACAGTTTACTTGATAACGCTGCTTGTTGCTCGTGTTGCTCAAGTCACTCAAACTGTTGTCTAAAGTTTAGACCATAAGAGTAAGCTAAAGTTTGCTACGAGCACACAGCGATCAAGGGGATGTTTGGATTCAGTGATTAAATTTTAGTTCCTGTCACATCGAATATTTAGATGTTAATTAGGAGTACTAAACATAAGGTAATCATAAAACTAATTGCATAAGTCATGACTAATTCGTGAGACGAATCTATTAAGCCTAATTAATTTAGCATATGTTTACTGTAGCATCACATTCACTAATCATAGACTAATTAGGCTTAATAGATTCATCTTGCAAATTAGTCACGTCTTATGCAATTAATTTTATAATTAGTCTATATTTAATACTTCTAATTAGTATCAAACATCTAATGTGACGTGGACTAAAGTTTAGTTACCTGTATCCAAACACCTCCGGGAACGCGGAATTATTTTGTGTTAATTCTCCAAAGAGGATGAGAATGGTGGTATTTTTTAGAAAAAAGGAGAATGGTGGTAATTAGGGAAAAAGAAGACGTGGGGTCAGATATTAGGGGTGTGATCGGAAGCCAAGACTGTTTTCGTATCATCTCATATGGGCCTAGACCGCATGCAGAGACCTTATTGAATAGTCGCAAAATCTTTTTTTTTCAAAGCATGATTTCGTAGGTTGTACAAGCTTATCTCGATCCATCTCACTCTTTTTTAAGTGGTAACCTGCACAGAATAGATGCACTTACCTTGCATCAGAGGCACATTACAGTTACCCACACCTTCCTTGTCTTTCCTTGCATATCGTGTTTTTTTATGCCGGCCCCTTGCAAGCGATAAATGGTGCTTTTAGTTGTCGGACCCTTCATGTCCATACATCAACAGGAGCAATGTGTGCAACTGTTCAAGCCCCCAAAGTTTAAGGCACCCTAAATTTACACTAAGTAGTACTCAATCCATTCCAAATTGTAAGACGTTTGACTTTTTTGACATCAAGTTTAACCACTTATCTTATTCAAAAATTTATGTAAAATATCACTTCTTTCGTCGTGGTTTGGTTTATTAATAAAAATTCTTCAAGAATGACTTAAATTTGACTATATTTACACAAATTTTTTGAATAAGACGAGTGGTCAAACTTGAGGTCAAAAAAGTCAAACGTCTTACAATTTGGGATGGAGGGAGTAACTAACAATGATTAATTGATTAGATAGAAAAAAAAATGCAGCACTACAACATAGGGCTGTGATTGTTGATTGGTTAATTGGTTAATTGGACCATGAGAACATTAGGCCCAATGGCCAGTGCCCATCAGCCTGCTTGGCTGGCTGCTTAGGCCCTCCACAACGTGGGGGCAGTTCTCACAAAAAAATCCCAAATTTTTTATAATTTAGCTCTTTTTTAAAAGAAAATTTACGTTTGGCCTTATGGGAGACGTAAACTCATCTTTAGACCCTGAGGGTCGGTGCTAGGACTCACGGCGCCGAGCTAACACGTCTCGGTGCCACAGATCTTAGCTCTGAGGTTCTTGGCCGAGCACAGCAGGGCATCCCAGGTGGCGTTGATGTGGCCGGTACCTCGGCCACAGATCTTGGTGCCGAGCATGGATTCAAAACCCACGGCCAAGTTTCCCTTGCCGAGGCTGCTTTCATTTCTTCCCCCTACCTCGTGGGTTCTTCCTCTCCCTAACCCGTCTAATCTCTTGAATCGACGAATTTGACCTTGGATACTTGGATTTTATCCATACATCTTCCGCGAGCAAGGTACCCTCTCTTCCCTTATCATTTTTACGTATTGATTTGGTATATATTACGTCTATTTTGCAACCCTAGATACGTTATTACCTAATGTTTGAAGTGGTTTTTTATTTTTTTGTATTATGTAACGGTAGGATGCCAAGGCGTGGTAAAGCTAGTAAGCCAAGGTAAACTCTTATCATCGTGTTATATTATGTTTTTATTTATGTGCAACAAATAGAAAAACCCTAGGTATAGGTGTCGACACAGGATTTCGTCCCGTGCCGAGGACACGAAGCAAGCTGGAAGGGTCCGCTCGATGGAGCAGATCTGCCTAGCTTCAGCGTAGGGGTGGTCGATCCTACGCAATCCTTCCGAGGCATGCCAGTCAATTTGACCCTGCAATTGACAAGGAGAGAAAGTTTATTAGTAATTAAGGGCGGAACTTGCCGGTGTTGCCAGACAGTCCCGAATGTACGGCTATGAGAGCCGATATGAAAGGAAATCGGCTAAATAGCCGATTCCAGTATATTCATAAGAATGAGTCAGTTAGAGCTCATGTGGGCGTATAAGAAGAATTGGTTGCCATTCAGGATAAATATTATTTAAACAAATATTAATCAATGGCAATAAGATATCAATGATGATCGATCCATACTGAGCCAATGATTACGAGTAACCGAACTCCTTTTTATATAAAGAAACAATTCAGCATCACTTAACCATTTAATAAAGATAAATCTAATGAACATGTTAGATCTCATCTATCACCATGACCAGTGGGGCATGAGGCAGAATCATACAGGCCGTAGAAACAACAATAGACTCGACGAACCTAACTCATTACTAATATCAGTGGGGCATGAGGCAGAATTATGCAGGCCGTAATACAATAATAAGATCATAGGGCTAACATATCTTTCAACTTATCTCTACTTCAACGGTCTCGTGATGTGAACTGCTTATGAAAGCGCTCGATATCGGCTAAACAGCCGATTCAGGCATAGCGCACAGTTAAGGTCATGCCTTCTCCAGAACAGATCTACCAACTAACGATCCCCACTCCACGATGCTAACAGTGGGGTGAGAGGCAGAATCCCACAGACCGTGATAACGGGCCATGAAACGGTTCTCGCTAACCTATAGATCTACTCAAGATCGAACATGCCTTAACCGCACGCTATGCACGATTAAGATTAATATAAAACAGCCGATAAAAACATAGCTCATCATTTAAAGTGTAAATCAGATCAATTTTGGATTAGCAAACGATGAGTCAAGTAAGATATAAGGCCGATCTAAATCAATCTTAATCGGGTAGAGTAATATTGCTGTAATTAGATAAGCAATGAAAGTAATAAGCAATATCGGTAACTTAATGAATCTACCAAAGACTGCCACTCTAAGATAGAGCCGATAACTTGACCTTGATCTAATTCAAGCAGTGGGGTGTGAGGCAGAATCACACAGGCCATACTTGAATTAGGCAAGAGTCGATAACTAGCTTATACCAGAGCCGTAGTGGGGGTCGACCGGATCGATGCAGCCATACGAACAGAGGTATAAACCATGACGGTACTTACAACAAGCAGTGGAGGTCGATCAGATCGATGCAGCCGTACTTGCCGAAGGACTCGTCGAGATCTACTCTACTCCTACTCCTAAGGGGTGGCCGGAGCCGAAAAAAGTAATTGACTTGTATTTGATTGATTGTCTTTTTACAATAGCCGGGGCTTGATATTTATACCCAGGACTTGCGCACGACTCCTATCTAAGCACAACTCATCACAAAATTTGACTCTAAAGAAAACATTCCTAATTTGAGATAACTTGGACTCTAATCTTTCCCTTTTTGTAGAGTCCAACACGTTTTCATCCTGGCGTCGAGCGTAGCCTCTGTCGTTATCTGCTGGCGTCGTCCGAAGAAAGCCGATTCCTAGATTTTGCATCTGAATCAACTGTTTTTGATCCGCCCGCAACTGATCCCTTGATGATACGATCCTGGAAGCCTCTGGGTCCCTGTGACTTTCCTTCCAAAATTTGGTGTAAACACATGCTCCCTAATTTTGGGACAAAAGAAATTTTGTTCCAAAATTACCATGTCTGTGCTACCGATAGGCCCGTAGTCATGGGTAAGGAATCTTGATCTGGGGCCTACTATTCGTCGCCGTCCATATCAACTCATGAGCCCATGCTCCAAAACTTTTTCAGAGCATTATTGCTTCACGGGCATTTGGATTCATCCTTCCAAGCCGGCTATAAAAATGGCTATCCGATCCTGGTGAGAGCAAACTCAACAATTCAGCCATGTTTCACTTCTATCTGCCTCCTCGGGTGTTTCCGATCCCGCTGGATCCTCCATGGTTTATCCCTTTGCTATGCAGATCTTGAGCGGTTAGGAGAATTCTTGTGCATAGGGTGATTGTGTCGCTCATTCTAGCGCCTTGTCGAGCAAGAGAATTAGCTACTATGGCTAGAAGAAGTCTTGTGATATCACCTATGTCTTCTCACCATGCTCGCAGAGCTGTTCTAGTGTTTGCAAGGGCTAAAATGTGTGGACACCTTTCCCTTGTTCGTTCCGCTAA